GGATAGCTTGAGGCTCTGTCTCAAAAAAAAAAAAAAAAAAGAAAAAGAGGGTAATGGTAATGCCTACCTTGTCTGCACGTCAAATGAGACAATCATATGAGAAACAGCTTCCATTTAGTGGGCGTTTACTAAATGCAGAGCATGTGATCTGCATTTTTCACCCATTCATTGCAGAGACCTGAGAGCAGCATTGTTCCCCTTTAGAGAGGTCACTCAGGGTGGCTTCCTGACTTGTCCAAGGTCACACCGCTGCTGAGTGACAGCTGAGCATTTTACAGCCTATCTTAGTCTGTTTTGTGCTACTATAACAAAATGTTTGAGGCTGTGTCATTTGTAAAGGATAGAAATTTATTTTTCATGGTTCTGGAGGCTGGAAAGTCTAAGATCAAAGTGCTGGCAGGTTCCATTTGGTGAGGGCTGCTGTCCTTCAGATCAGCTATACTCTCTGGCAGGGAGGAACCCTGTGTCCTCCCATGACAGAAAACCAAAAGCCAAGAGGGGAACATGGAGTGAAGCCTCTTTTATTTTATTATATTTTATTTTTTTGAGACAGAGCCTCAAGCTGTCGCCCTGGGTAGAGTACAGTGGCATCATAGCTCACAGCAACCTCAAACTCTTGGGCTTCAGCAATTCTCTTGCCTCCATCTCCCAAGTAGCGGGGACCACAGGCACCTGCCACAATGCCCGGCTATTTTTTGGTTGTTGTTTGGCAGGCCTGGGCTGGATTCGAACCTGCCAGCTCTGGTATATGTGGCTGGCGCCTTAGCCACTTGAACCACAGGCACCGAGCCGTAAGGGCCTTAATCCCACTCAAGCAGGAAGAGCCCTTCCTCATAGCTGAAACGCCTCTTTTTTTTAAAGCAATTTATTTTGTTTATTTGTTCTGAGACAGAGTCTCACTCTGTCACCCTGGGGTTGAGTGCCATGGTGTTCATCATAGCTCACAGCAACCTCAAACTCCTTTCTAGTAATCCCCTGGCTCCCCTCCCAGGCAGGGGTCTAGCAATCCCCCTGCCTCCACTCCCCCTATCTGTAGCTGGGACTGCAGGCGCCCGCCACAACACTCTACTATTTTTTTCTGTTTTTGTTTAAGTGACACATTCAAACCGTAGCACAGACCATCCAGGGCTGGGCACAGTTGGCTGCAGCTGTGGCAGAGCCCTGTGGATGTAGGGTGAGTACCCACCCCAGACACTTACCTCCTTCCCACAGGTGCTGAAGTCTACAGGGGACGTGGCCAGAGGGCGGGCCCTGTACGAGGGGTATGCTACAGTCACAGATGCACCCCCTGAGTGCTTCCTCACACTCAGGGACACAGTGCTGCTGCGCAAGGAATCTCGGAAACTCATTGTTCAGCCCAATACTCGCCTTGAAGGTAAGGGACTACCGTGTCCCCTTTGATGGTGGGCCATTTGGGGCCCTGTAGGAGCACAGAGGACACATCTGGGGCTCAGGGAAGGCTTCCTGGGAGGCCCCTCCCTCCTTGCTCCCTGCCAAGGTCCTTCCCATGCCAAACCTCAGGCCAAAACCTTGGCATCTGCACCACCACACATACCACTCATAGGGCTGGTGGTGAGGCAGCAACAGGAGGTCTGAGGAAGGCTGGCAGAGCAGGGGCTGGAGGCATGGACAGACTTAGGGAAGCTGGGAATGGCACGGAGAATCAGACCTGTGGGTACCTGGGCTCAAAGTCAGATCAGGCAGGGGAGGTGGGACCCAACAGGCTTCAGGGAGCCCAGAGAACAAGGCAGCTCTGCCATTTCAAGCATGGATATCAGGAGCTGCTTCTGGCCTCTTCCTTCTCAAGTGACAGGCCCATTTCCAAAGTCCTAGCCCTATCTACAAGGTGCTTTTTATATAGACACTGCCTGGGGTCCCAGCACCTCAGTACATTCACTTGCCCATCCCCCCTTAACTCATCTTTCTGACACCTGTTCTTGAGGCACCTAAAACTAGGTGGTGCCATGGGGTGGAGCACCAGCTTCACAACTGTCCTCTGACCTTGGCTCAGTCACTTCACCCTTCTGGGCTTCGGTGTCTTCAGTCATAAAGCCAGTGTCCACTGCCCGTTGGCACTGTAGTAAGCCTGAAGTACCTCCTGAAAGTTCTACACACTTTCCCTGTGTTAACCTTTGAAATCCTCACAGTGACCAGTAAGGTAGGAACTTCTGTTATCTCCATTTCACATATAAGGGAGGTGGGCAAGGTAAAATGAGGCTTATGCCTTTTTATTAAAGGAACCAGGAGGCAAATTAAGAATGTTTGCTCCTCACGTCCATGTTACAGGCAGTCGTGAGAGTGGAGTGAGTAATGTGTGTAATGACGTGTAACGATGTGCAGACAGACTTGTGAGCAGTCACTGGTGAGGAAAAGGCATGTATGAGAGGCTCGTCCAGCTCTTTTCCAGGCTGTGCAGAGGCTGCTGGGATTTGGCCCAGGTCCCTGCTGGCCTCTTGTTCGCCAGCACCCGGCGTACCCAGCCCTCCCACAGCCCTTGCAAGGCAGTGCCCTCTGCCTGGCACGATCTTGCCCTACTTCTTTGCCAGAGAAGAACCTGGTTGTTCACATCATTCAGGTCCCTGGTTTTTGTTGTTGTTTGTTTTTTTGGGTTTTTTTTTTGAGACAGTCTCACTTTGTCACCCTCAGTACCATCATAGCTCACAGCAACCTCAAACTCCTGGGCTCAAGCGATTCTCTTGCCTCAGTCTCCCAAGTAGCTGGGACTATAGACACCCATCACAATGCCCAGCTATTTTTAGAGACAGGGTCTCGGTCTCGCTCAGACTGGTCTTAAACCCGTTAGCTCAAGCAATCCACCTGCCTCGGCCTCCCAGAGTGCTAGGATTACAGGCGTGAGCCACTGCGCCCACCTCCCAGGTCCCTGTTAAATGGCAACTTCTGAGAGAGGCTGTTCCCAACCTCTCACCCTAAAGTGACCCCCTCTGGCCTCTCTCTGTTCTGTCACCCAGCCTCATTTTCTTTCTGTACCCATCACACTTAACCCACTTTTTCAGCCTGTCTCTGAGGCCTGGCAGAGGCCTGCTGCTTCATATCTGTCACATGAGCGGATTAATGAATCACGCCAGCCACGTGGACAATAGCATCAATTGCTTTGATATGTCCGGCTCTGTGTGAGCCACTGGGGAGCCCCTGGGGATCCAGAGGTGAATGGGAACCTGGCCCTGCTCGCAAGTAGTTCACTGATCATTAGGAACAATAAGACATGGAGAAAAATAATCATACAAGAGCAGCGTTACCGAGTGCTCAAAAGGTAAAAACAGTGCTGTGAACTCTGTGAAGAGTGAAGATCACATCCACCTTCAGGAGAATCTGGGAAGGAAGTGGTGGTTAAACTAGACCTGAAGAACAGGTTGGATTTTCAAAAAAATGATGATGGATAACTTTTGAGGACTTTGCTGTGCCAGGCACTGAGTAAAAAACTTCATGGGTTAACCCCCAATAACCCAATGGAGAATGATTATTATTTTTTTTTTTTTTTTTTTGAGAC